AGTGTAGTTTCGAGTGTAACTACTCATAGATTCTGCTTTTTAACATTCTTTCACCTGCTCCGTACCGTTTTCCTTTTATTCTACAGAGCTACCACTGATCCATGTTTCACTTACCACTACCGCCCTACCTGTTGTACTGACAAACTATGTGGCCATGTGGACCTTTGCTACATTTTCCTTAATCATGAGGAACCACGGCAATGGGTTAAGGACTTTTAAGGCAAATCCCAATCATTTTCATACGTGCTCTGTGAACTAAATTCGTTTGACATCTCCTTTCTTCGTACTGCCGTCACTTCCCTCTCAAATTTTCTTCATTTTTCGGATGGTCCCATAAAAAGAAAACCGGAAGATCTTAGGTCTTATTGACAGAAACAGAAATTTCAGAAACTCGAAACTACTTTTCTTCTTCATTTCTTTCCTTTTGTTTTTCTGTTGTTTGAAAATGAGTTGTCTAATGGACCCCCTTCGAGGTTTAATATACTTTACCTTCTAGGGACGTCTCTTATTTGAAGCACGCCCTTCGCTCATTTTCTCACTTTCTACTATCCTGTCGAATTCCGAGTTTTTAACCTCCATGCAGTAGGGGAACTTCGTTAATACAGACCAATGCCTTAAATTTGAGGTTTCTTCATCCGTCAAATTGATCGAGGTCCTCACTTGAAAGCTGAAGTGAAGTCTATTGTCGAAAGGCTAAACCAGTGGAAGCGATTCTCATATACAACGATAACTCCTTCTCAAACACATAGATTCATTCAGCAAGATACTATTTACAAACCTACTCTGGACGTGAAATCTTACACGCGTCGTTAGGGGCGGACGGAATTAGGAATAATAGATCAGAAACTAAATATCTCAACTCAATGGTCACTCATCTTTTACTAGACAAGAGATTTTTTTTTATTTTTGGTATTTGGATACACCAGCATTTGACTGTCAGCTTGTGTCTTTATCTCTTTATCAATTTCAAGGTGTATAGAGGTAATGTAGTTCCAAGTAGAGCACTATCGCACCATTGGTTTGATGATCGAATCCATGGGACGAGATTTCCTTAAGCATTCCTTGGAGACGGTCAACTGATGTCTTGTAAAAGTATTGGCTTGCACGTCGGTTAGGTAATAAACAAAGACTTCTTTTCGTAAGTTACATGCATATTCAAAGTAGCATCACAAATCTAAATCGAAGTCTTATGCGTAGGCGCGTTCCACAAACGGAATGGCTCAATGGCAAAAAGCAATAGTTTTCATTCCTTACTTCCAAGGCTCAACTCTAAAACATCGCATGAAGTTTTGTCATCGATTGTTGAACAACACTATTTATCTGGGGATGGCCAATTCGGAGGATAAGTTTATTTCTATTGATTCTCTTGTTCACCTCTTCCATCTACTTATTGTATCAAAAAGCTCTTATTATAAAAAGGTGCTAGATGTGCTGTGACACATGGTTGCTTTTTATATGGCCTTCCACTAGCTCTGGAATGAAAGGAATATGTGTGGAAGGCTTTTCATTTCAAGTGGCCGTCGAGACTGTCCACTTGAGATGTGAACCCGGCCTATTCACATTTCTTTTCTACAGTTTACTTTACCCTTATAGTGATCGCAGTATAGCTGTTGTGGTGATGATCCTTCGGTGTTCTTAGAGAGGTGCATGTTTGAAATAGTATGATACTGCGACTGCTCGCTGCTTTTGCAAGTATCATAGTACCTATTCATTTTTGCATGATAAACACATTCACGTTCACATTTTCGGTGTTTTGGTGCACATAAAGATGCCGATGTTCTTCATTGCATCATTATGCATGCTTTGTCGGAGCAGATCATTTAGTGGTTGTCATGTTTATAGTTGTGGCTCAACCAGTCGCCCCTGCCCCGTCAACAGTATTTTCTGAAACCAACGGACACTCGAACGGTTTTCAAGCTGACTTCGTGAGGGCATTCTCCAGTAGAAACACCAGTGATAATGGTGGAGGTAAAGTGCACTGATGAACTCTTTCACTTTGCGACTGTTGAATTTTTCGAGCTCTTTATGCAGCAACCTGCCTGAGCGATACATTGTGGCGTTGTCGTGTCGTAACTGTTTGTTTCCAATTTGTTGTGTTGGTTCTTTTTGATTTGATTTTTGTATTGAAAGTTCTCGTGATTGGACCGCTTTAACTTATACAAACATCGCAATAGTTGTTCGTGATTGTCAATCAAATGCCAGTTTGACCAAAAAAGTTCTCATTCGTGAAATTGCTGGCGAAACTTGTACTTACATAACCGCCAATGCTCTGTTTTTTCTTGGAATTTTGTTGTCACTCATATCATGGTTTCGAGTCTCTTATTTTATTCGAGTTGTCTGTGGATTGTTATGCATTCATTTGGTTTGAGATGGCATCACTGATGCTAATCCATTCCTCAATATGGGACCAACAACGGCACCAACGGGATCGATGTGGCAGCCCGAATTCAGCTCTGAACATGCATCCGTGACAAACGCTGAAGCGACAGATGCTCATACTGGAATCGTTACCAGTCAAGCCACAAATCCATTTGGAAATGTTTCCTTCCAAGCTCAAGGCGAGTTCCAATCACAAATCACTTTTTTACCTACTCTAGTTACTTCTAATTATGATTAACAGTGATTTCACTTTGATAATGCACAGATGAAAAGTGTTTCTGTAGTATAAGGTATTTGAAGGCGTCTCTGACGACTATTTGGAGTAGATAATAATGGCGGTGGTGGAAGAGGACGGTGGTCCGCTTGCAAATATACGTACTCGTCGAAAATTTAAGAAATAGATTTAACAATAGGTTTTCAGAAAGGTCGCAATTGTGTGGGGTTGTGTGGATAGCAAAGGAGCAAATACGGTGTATTATTGTTAACTGAGAACAGAAGCCACTAATTTTTTTTTTGTCAGATGGCTCGAGTCGCCTACTTTTCTGTTTTTCGTTACGTAATTGGTAGACTATTTCTAGTGATTAATGTAAGCTGTGGTTGTTCCACATTACCCAGCCGACTGGCATTGCCATGCGCAAATTTCGTTTCTCCACCCACCACTAAGCTTGCTCAAAAAGTTGTGGATGGAGAGAGTCGACGCAACAAGGACAAGTTAGAAGTTAGAAGAAGGTACCA